GCGTGGCCTAGGAGAGTGGGTGGTGAAAGCTTTTTGTAAACTGTAGGAAGGCATGCTGGATCCATGTGGTGTCTGCACTTCAATGTCTGACTCAGGGGTCGGAGCTTGTAAGCTACTCCAGGCAGGGCTACAATGGGCCTTTCTGGCATGTGGCTGCTCTTTTCAGGCTGTGTCTGAGCCGCAGCTTATTGGAGTCCTATTGAGTTCCCAGGGGCAGCTGCTAGGTCAGCTTCTCAGGCATTTTGGGCGGCAGCCTGTATGCACACCTGGAAAGACTTTGAGACTTTTCTCAACCCGTTTCCGGGAGGGAATGAAGCCCTATTGGAAGTGATGAATTAACTTTTCTCTTGTTCCTTTAGGATCATACTAGGAGGCGTTAGAAGATAAACCCTCATCATTTTCTGTGCTCTGTGGTTCCGTGAGGAACCCCAATTGAGAAAGGCTGGAACTGGCAGATGCAGAAATGCCCCCACCATCATCCCTGCCCCAGATTTGGGCACACAGGGAATGAGAGGCCCAGGAGAGCCAGGCACTTGTTCCAGGTCACACAGAGCTGGTGCAAAGGCAGCACTCAAAACCAGGAGGTCCCTAATTGCCAGGCCAGGATTGCATGATGGGTGACACGACCCTTTCCATTCCTTCTGCGTTTTGAAAATGGAGCAGTGCTCCATTTACATCTCTGGTTGTGAAAGTGCATTTGTTGAGCTGTTTCCCCAGACCACCCTGTCTGCACGAGTGGCGGGTTTGGGAGGCTGAGCAGCGCCCTTCTTCCTTGAGAGCTGAGGTCACCAGCTCTGGCTGGTTCTGCGCTGCGTGTGGCTAATTGCATTGTGGCCCTGGCATGGTTGGAGGAAGGGCAGCGCTAAGTGGTTTCTGAAAAAAAAGGGCAAAAATGATGGGAAAGACTTTGGGGTCCTCTGGGAATCGGAGCCTCAGCAACAGCGGCTGCTACCATTGCCGGAAACGTTTTCCTTGAGTGCCAGAGGGCGCCCACAGCCCATCCCTGTCAGTGCGGAGCAGCCGCAGCCCGGGGAGGGGCCGTGGACCCTCACGGAGGGAGGCAGGGGAGGCACCTCTTCTCCCCACAGCAGCTCAACTCTCCCTTCGAGTGGAACGGCCTTCGAGCTCGCCGCGCCTGCTGGGTCTGGGGTGTGGCTGCGTCTAGCTGGTGAGTCCCTTTTGTAGTTGGACGTTCGCTTTTAGAAACATCTAAAAGCGTTTGACAGCATAGTGAGCTGTCAAAAGCTGGGGGTATGCCTCTTCCCAGCTGTGTGACTACGGGCTGTTCAACTAGCCTCTTGGTGCCTCACTTACCCCATCTGAAACCTGGGGATAATAACAGTGGCTTCCTCAAAGCCCATGGTGAGTCTTAAGTGGTGCCAGAGTCGTAGGGCACTTATCCTAGCTAATCGTGAGAGCTCGGTAAGTGATAGTGGAGGTTGCTATTAACACTGTGTATTACCTGCGCCAGAGGCATCCTGGGCTGAAGAATGCTACAGAGGCCAGCGGTTTGTGGCTGGAGGATTCAGTGCGTAGTCCTCTCTGGAGTGGAGGAGTGCTGGGCCGGCAGGCACAAGCCCTGGGTCCTTGTCTAGCCTCCACTCTGTGTTTTTGGTAGTGTTCCTCTGGCTCTTCATCCACGGGTTGCAAACCCAGCTCTCCATCCCTCTTTAGGAGATGCTCAGTAGGAGATGAGAATGATCAAGGCCGGGTGCTAAACCAGCTCCCAAAAGCCCGAAAGGAAAAGCCAGACGCAGATGGATGCTTTGGGCAGAGAGGGGAGAAGGAGACCTGTACCCTAGGATGTCTCACCTGGACTGGGAGAGGGGAAGGGGGGCCTCTCCCAGGTGATGGGCAGTGTCCTTCCTGGCCCTAGAGTTGAGAAAGAGCCAGAGGCCAAACCAGGCCTTTGCTGGGCAGAGTCTTTTCTCAAGACCATCCTTTAGTCCAGATTGATGAATTTGTGAATCTTATGTAAAACAGAAGCACCATCTCCATCAGACACCCCAAATCGCGGTTGGAAATTCCCCCATCTCTGTAGAATGTTTGGCTCTGACAGGTGCATTGCCATGGGGCGCACGTGCTGGGCACACCTCAGGCCTGGCAGTGCAGACTATGTTGTCCCTGTTCACCACCCCCCCACCCCCCCACCCCCCCAGCCTAGAGCAAACGGCCTCTTAGTCCCTGTCCCTCCCTCTGTCCTGGGAGAAGCTTGGTTTCCAGTAGGGAATCAGGTGAAGGGCCTGCAGGGCAGATTCAGGGTTTGTTGACTGACTGACTGATGGCACTGTGTGGGCTGCTTCATGCTTACTGAGTTTGGTTAGGTTTGGACCAGTCAGAGAATGAGGCAAAGCTGCAAGAAAGAACAGCACTGAAAGGTTTGTTGAGGCTCCTGCTAATAGGTGCTCTCTTGTCGGGCTATTAAGAGCTGCTAGTTGGGAAGCAGGTTTGTTTTTGGTTTTGCAGCCAGCCTTATCCAGAGGGGGACATTCCTGGGAGAGCCAGGCCTGGTGTATGGCCTGGACCTGATTTGTGTTTGTTGTGGGGTTTTGAGCTTCCTGGGATGCTTGTTTTGAGCAGGAGGGTGCTACAGGTTTGGGGCTTCTGAATGAAAGGGCATTGTCCCCACCTGCCTGGCCCCAGGGCTGGGAGGGCCTGGTCTGATTGGCCCCCAGCTCTTGGTGTAAGGTCTGGGGCTGATTTTCATGACTGAGAAAGAGCCCCGAGCCTTCCGGTGGGGTGGTAGAGTGCTAGAGAGGCTCGGGGGCCAGGCTGCCTGGGATCAAAACCAGCTTCCATCTTTTACTAACTGTGTGACCTCGGGTAAGTAATATAATTGCTCTGTGCCTCAGTTTCCTCATCTGTAAAATATTTCCCCCTTAGAGATGTGAGAATAAAGCGAGTGAATGCCTGTGAAGTGTTAGAACAGTGTTTTCCTTTGTACAGCATGGGCTCAAACACATCAATTCCTCTCATTCTCATTAGCCTCCCGTGCCTTTTAATCGCCAATACGATCCCCATCCTATAAACAGGCCTCGATGGGAAGCTTCTCATGGCTTCCTGCCATCTGAGCAGTAATGTCCACATCTTGTTCCTTGGCGTTCAGGGCTGATAGCCATCTGGTTCTGACCCCACTGACTTCTTCATCAGCTGCTCTGGGGGTCTCCATCCTCTTCCCTAGTCCCAGCCCAGCCTTGTTCCATTTCCAGGCCCAGCTCATCTGTCACCTCCTCCACGAAGACTTCTGCAGCACCCCGGGCCCTGCTGTGGTTCCCCTGCCCCAGCCAGCACCTGGTTTCTGTCTCCGATGGGGTCTGAGTCCTCTCTGTGCCCCCAGCACAGGGCTGGGCACCCAGTAGTGTCAGTGGATGGGTGTTGAATGATGGGATGCACACATGGGTGTTGGTTGGAAGTGGGGCTTTCTGCGGCCGGGCATACTTCCTGCAGCAGGGTTTCCACCTAATGGATGAATCAGAGAGAGACTCAGGCCCTCCTGAATGCAGAACAACAGGCAGGAGTGGAAACAAGCCTGTAGTCATCGTCTGTCCTATTCACAGGATGCGAAATGGTAAGGCTGCCTCTTTTTCCGCGTGGATCTGGGCATCAGATCATAGCCGAGTCATTGTCACAGCCCAGTCACATGCTCTGAGTTTCCACTGCCTGAACTTTCGCTTGAACATGCAGGCTTGAGAAGCCTCCCATTCCTTCAGTGGCTGTTTTCTGGAATCCGGCCACTGCCGGAACATGAATCTCTCTAACTTCCTATGGAAATGGGAGCCAGAAGGGTCTGTATCTGATCTCACTCCTTTCCCAGCACAGCTTTTCTTTTCGTTAAAGACGTGGATCTGGCAAGTGCCCTGCCCAGGTGGAGTTCACAGGACAGGGTGCAGAGATAACGGTGAAGCACAGAAATCGCTAGACTGCGTGGTGGACGGTGCTAAGAGGGCTGTGAGGAGGGATGAAATGAACTGGGCCCCTCTGGAGGGGGAGGGGAGCAGCACGATGAGTGCAGGGATTAGGGGACGTGGAGGAAGTGGCATCAGTGGGGAGGTGGCATCCGAGTGGTGGTGCGGTTCGGACAAGCGAAGAAGAGGAGAAAGCACCCCATGTGGAGGCACCGTGGAGGCCAAGGTCCCTGAGATGTGGGCCAGCGCTGGGTACCAGGGAGTGATGGTGCCCAATCGGGAGAGGAAGAGTAGAAAAGGAGGTTAAGAAAGAGTGGGAAACAGTATCAACACCAGTTTCCAGCCATAGGTGCTGGCCAGTGTAATTCCAGGTGTTCGGGCCTAGAAGGCCCACCGGCGCTGAACCACTTAAAGTCTAAAAGTTCAGGGCCAGGATGCTTGAAATATACCAATTTCACAAAGATGACAAAAAGTGCAAAAAATCCCCTGCAGACTCAACAGTTGCAGCAGCCAGGTCGAAGAGCAAAGGCAGGAGAGTGCGTGGCTGATGGGGTGGGGGTGGGGGGGCGACACAGAGCACCCAAGGGCCCATGCAGTGTGGAGTGTGAGTGCCGGTCTCTGCCAGCAGCCACCTTGCTCCTGGGGACGCAGACAGCTCGGCTCTTTGGGGCTGAGCCATCCTGAGCTCCTCCCCAAATGCACAGCCAGAGATTAGCCTCTCCTCTTGTTTCCCGTATGCTGATCTTGGAGGGAGGCAGAGCAGTGGTTATCATCCCTACTCTGCAGACAAGGCAACTGAGGCCCAGAGAAGAGGAGGAACCATCCTGATGGTTCCAAGCTGGGGGCTCATTCATCCCTGGAGGCTGTTGGCCATGGGGCTGCTAGGCCTGCTCCCCCTGAGGCCTCTGGGGTGGGAGGTACAACGCCCCTGAAAGCTTCCTTCCTGGAAGGCTGGGGGCAGGAGCTGTCGGACTTCTGGGCTGTCCTGCTTCTCAGGGGCCTTTGCAACAAGGGCAGTGGGGGCTAGGGTCATGCAGCCCTCCAGCTGGGAACAAACCCGATCTCGGTGGCTGCCCGCAGGCCTCCTCTTGGGCCACAGAGGATCTGGCAGGATGAAGAAATGGGGGAGCTCAGACTTATGGGAATCTCAGGACCTGCGTCAGGAGGACTCCTGCCCAGAGCCCCTAGATGGAGACCCTAACTCCAGGCCAGCTCCAGCCAAGCCCCACAGCTTCCCTGCGGCCAAGAGCCACAGCCGGCTCTTTGGAAAGGGTGATTCGGAGGACACATCCCTCATGGACTGCTCTTATGAGGAAGGTCAGCTGGCATCCTGCCCGGCCATCACAGTCAGCCCTGTTGTCACCGTCCAGAGGCCTGGGGATGGTCCCACCTGTGCCAGGTAAGCTGCATCTGGAGCTCAGCCTCCCTTTCCACCAGGAGCCTAACTGGCCCAGCTGGCTGAGGCCCCAGCCATGGAGACACCATGTGATACTCGAGTTTATGGGCTGAAGGTCATAGAGCTAGGGAGCTGGGGGGCCTCCAGAGGTCTCCTGGTCCAGCGTCTGTACTCATAGGACCTTTGGGACATGTGGCCACACATGCTGGCATATATGCTGATCCTAGCTGCTGGCTGATCTCTGGGTCCAGGCTTAGAATGCTCACCAGCCCTAATCATGAGGACTTTAAGTTGGAAGGCTCAAGCGCAGGATGCTTTTAGACAGAGTACAAAACAGTTCCAGTGAGAGCGCACCAGGCCTCCCACCTCCTCCGAAGCAGGACAGGGACTGCACAGGGCTGGATGACTTCTGTGGCCCTGTGAGGATGCTTTTTCACTTAGCAGAGGCCAGCCAAACCCCTGCCCTCCATCCCCTCCAGGCTCCCGCAGCCTCTGAGCAGGCAGAGAAGTGAGTGGCCTGGGTATTGGAGGAAGTGGAGGCTGCAAAGACTTTCTAGATGATGCCAACACACAGGGTGGGGACAGAACAGGGGTACATGTGCCCCACTGTTCCCTGTTACAGCCTGGACTGAGCGGTGGGTTTTGTATCATGTTTTTTCCCCTTTTTGTTTGCCTCGGGGTTTAGTTGTGCCCCCTGACAGGCTCCGAAGGCCTCAGGGCTGAGACCAGAGTATGAGACGAAGGTGTTTTCTGGCCCTTAGGCAGCCATCCCAGGACTCTGCTGCCGAGAACCTCAAGCTCTATGATCGCAGGAAGATCTTCGAAGCAGTTGCTCAGAATAACTGTGAAGAGCTGGAGAGCCTGCTGCTCTTTCTAAAGAATAGCAAGAAGCATCTCACGGACAGCGAATTCAAAGGTGGCCCGGAAGCCGCCGGGTCCCGGGAGCGGCCCCGCCGTGCTGCCTGCTCTGACCCCCACTTTGTCTTGCAGACCCGGACACAGGGAAGACCTGCCTGCTGAAAGCCATGCTCAACCTGCACGACGGGCAGAACGACACCATCCCCCTTCTCCTGGAGATCGCCCGGCAGACGGACAGCCTGAAGGAGCTGGTCAACGCCAGCTACACGGACAGCTACTACAAGGGTGAGGGAGGCCCGGCCGGCATGGCTCTGCCCACAAGTTTGCCTGGAGCCAGGAGGGCACCGTCACGCCCGGGAAAGGCTCTGAGCTCCTTACTCCCTGTCCAGCCACTGAGTTGGGATCTCCTGGTCCTGGGGGTCCCTGCACCCCGCACACCCCCAATGGCTCGGTGCTCCTTACCCTTGGGCCATTTTGATTCCTTCAGCTCCCAGTCTGGTGTTCCCTGTTCTGGGGGTCTCTACTCCTGCCTCAGGGCCTCCTTGGGCCTCCTTTGGTGGGGGGTCATGCTGCATGTTCTGCCCACGCCCACCCCCCGCACCTGTCCGGGCAGCCCCCGCAGGACGACGAGCACAAAGCCAACAGCACGCGTCCTCCACAGGCCAGACGGCACTGCACATTGCCATCGAGAGACGGAACATGGCACTGGTGACCCTCCTGGTGGAGAACGGGGCCGACGTCCAGGCCGCGGCCAATGGGGACTTCTTTAAGAAAACCAAAGGGCGGCCTGGCTTCTATTTTGGTGGGGAGACCACGCGGTAGACACTTGGCTTTTTGATGATTGCTAAGGGGAGGTTTGAGGTGGAGAGAGGGGGAGTTGGAGGCTGGGTGGTGCAAGGGCCAGTCTCTTCCTGGGGAAGCCCACCGCTTTCCTGTGTTGGCTGCAGGTGAGCTGCCCCTCTCCCTGGCTGCGTGCACCAACCAGCTGGGCACCGTGAAGTTCCTGCTGCAGAACTCCTGGCAGTCGGCCGACATCAGCGCCAGGGACTCGGTGGGCAACACTGTGCTGCACGCGCTGGTGGAGGTGGCTGACAACACGGCCGACAACACCAAGTTTGTGACGAGCATGTACAATGAGATTCTGATCCTGGGGGCCAGACTGCACCCTGCGCTGAAGCTGGAGGAGCTCACCAACAAGAAGGGGCTGACGCCGTTGGCTCTGGCTGCCAGCAGTGGGAAGATCGGGGTAGGGAGAGGGCATCATGCCTGAGCAGGGGGTGCTGTGGGAGGGGCCTGCCTACCTTCCTAAGCTTCTGACATCGCCACCGCGCAGAGCCTGGTGCTGCCCCACCAGCCTGTAGAGGGAGGGCAGGGGGCATTAGAGTCAGCCAGGGGAATTGTGAGATGCCGAGCAGAATTCATCAGCTCACACGTGGCCGTTTCTGATTTCCAACTCTGAGCATCACCGACAAGACACAGAATGGGGGTGGGGCGCTGGGGTCTGGGGATGGGGGTGGGTTGAGCTGAGGGTGAAATGGAAAGAGAAGCTGTTGGTGTTTTTTCATGGAAGATAGGACTTTTGGGTGATATGGGGTCCTAATGCGGTGGGGCAGGCCCAAGCCTGTGGATGATGTCAGGCCATGGAGGCTGAAGGTGGGGCTGGGCAACTGGGAACTGGAGGAGAAGGGGCTTCTCAGTACCAGAGGATTCTGGGAGCTTGACTCTGTTCATACTGAGTCTCTTAGGATGAGAACATTGGTTTTATAACCTTTCTAACCTTGGTTTTATTTCTTGGATTTTATTTCCTTCTGGCCTGAGGTTTTCTAGAGTGGACCACTGCAGTCCTTCACTGTGAGATGGGAGAAATGGGGGGCCAGGTGTGATCAGGTGATGGGTCCGATGTGGCTGCAGTTGGGGTCTGAGGCAGTGGGAAGTTGATCTTGATGGTGGTCAGGAGGCTGCTAGATGGGGGTGGGGCTCTCCTGGGGCTTGGGTGGGGTCTCCAATGGGCTGGGAAGCAGAATTATTCTTGGAGCAGAGCTGGTAGGGATGCCGCCTGCGCAGGGCCCCAGGCTGGCCTCTAACAGGCTCTTGTATCCCTGCGGCAGGTCCTGGCCTATATTCTCCAGAGGGAGATCCAGGAGCCCGAGTGCAGGCACCTGTCCAGGAAGTTCACCGAGTGGGCCTACGGGCCCGTGCACTCCTCACTGTATGACCTGTCCTGCATCGACACCTGTGAGAAGAACTCAGTGCTGGAGGTGATTGCCTACAGCAGCAGTGAGACGCCTGTGAGTGGACTGAGGCTGGGACCCAGCCAGGAAGGGCTTCGGGTCTCACTGCACCTCAGCCCCTACCCCCGCTCCCTAATCTGGCTCTGCCTGTCCTCCCATCAATGGAAACCTGCTACTCGGGGCCTACACCCTGCGGTCTCATCTCCCCATTCATTCCCACCGAATGTCTTCCTGCATCATACAGTCAATATATGATAATATTCCCATAAAACTTAAATATTTCAAAAATACATAGACAAGAAAAGAATCCTCCTTTTCTACCATATAAAAACATGTAGCTGCATTTTGTTTATATAAATGGGATTATACTGTATATAGTACAGAACAACCATGTTTTTCACTTAGTGGCATGTTTTATTTTTTAAATTTTTAAATTTTTTATTTTGGCTGCGCTGCTCGGCTTGCGAGATCTTCCCCGACCGGGGATCGGACCCAGGCCCCCTTCAGTGGAAGCGCAGAGTTCTAACCACTGGGCAGCCAGGGAAGTCCCTGTACATAGTTTTATATCAGCACATATGAGTCTGCTTTATTAAAAAAAATTACTGCAAGTATTTCATAGTAGGAATGGGGAGTAAATATCCACAGAATGACATTTGAGTTATTTCGTTGTTTTTTTTTTTTTTCCTACTACAACGCTACCGGCCACTTGGCATGGGTTTGAGAATTTTTCTATGAAGGACACCTGGAACTGGAATTGCTAAGTCAGAAAGTATGGCCTCCAGAAAGATTGCATGAATGCACTTGCCCACCACCCATGGGTACACATCTACTTGTGTCCTTGCCAACCTGGGTATTAACAATCTTTTTTTTTTCTTAGCCTAGTTTAAGCCCGTGGAGCCCAAAATGCTATCTCATTGATGTCTTAATTCTTGTTTTCTTGCTTACCGTGAGGCTGAGAATTTTTTCATGTGTTTTCAACCATTCGTATTTCTTTGGTAGATTTCCTGTTCATTGTCCTTTGCCGTCTCTTCTACTGGACTGTTTGCCTTACTCTTTTAGTGTGTAGATGCTCTTGTTATGAAATGAATTGATCCTTTCTCTATTGCACGTGTTTCAGATATTTTATTTTTTCCTAGTCTCTTGCAAACTTCATTTGCATCATTTGCTTATAAAGAGTTTTCATTTTGAGAGTCGAATTGGTTAGACTTTTTCTTTCATAGCTTTTGTGACTTGTGTCTTGCTTTGGAAAGCCTTTTCCACTTCAAAATTGCACACACATCTTCCAATACTTGTATTTAGTTCCTTTGTAGGTATTTTACGTTTGGCTTTTAAATTTATCAAGAATTGATTTTTGCGTAGGTGTGAGGTAGGTGTCTTACTTATTTTGTTTACAAATGAGGGTCCCCATGCCACTTAATGAAAAGTTTATCCTGCCACCACTGCTGTCCCATCTTTCTAAGGTGACAGATGCTCCAGGCCCTGAGGCTGACTTTGGGGGGCTGTAGTCTTTGCTGTTGGTGATGATGGGCTGCCATGATGTCTCACAGGGCAGAGGCTGCATTTACAGGGGCAGAATCCAGAGGAGGGAGAGGCCTGGCTTGCTTTGTTCTGTCCTGTCGGCTCCCACCTGGGCTGCCATGCTGAATCTGAGCCTCTGACTCAGAATCCCTGATGTAAGTGTTCCCAGAGGGCTGGCCCAGGTGGGAAACAACCGCAAGAAGAACTGGGGTGTTTGGCCTAGAGAGGAGAAGGCTCTGGGGCCACGGCTGCCATGTGCACATCTCTGGAGGCTTTCAAGGGCTGGAATACAGTACAGTACAGTACAGGTCCCGAGTGCAGAGCGGGGACCACTGGTGGGAAGCAGAGAAGGCCAACTTTACTCCAGAGAGCAGAATTTCCCGACAAGCTTCTTGGGGCAGCAGAGAGCTTCCCATCCCCAAAGGTATTCAAGAAGATACTGAACATGGTCCTTATTTGGGGAGCTCCAGCTTGGGTCAGAGTTGCACTCAGTGGCCCAAAAAGGCTAGGATGACCTGATTTTGGCTCATCCACATCCTAGGAATACTTGAACTTTACAGAGAGCTCGTTGATGTGAGACTTTTGCCCCAAAGCAATACTTGTAATGGTGGTATCCCAGGCACTGGGCCCACTCACGGCAGGAAAGACTTCCTCGTTCCCTTCAGTCTCATGCATAGGTAATTGCCACTCCCACCTGGATAGCCTGTCTGACTCAGGGCCGGAAATGGGAGAATTAAGGAATTCAGAGGCCCCTCCCTCAGCAGCCTCATGCTAAGCTCTGCCTGTGCCAGCCTCTTCCCGATACTGTGGGAACAGCAAGGATGTAGGCTCTTGGGAGAGCGTTATTACAGAGAGTGGGCGTAGAATGTCGGGTGACACTGGTACGCTCTTGAGTGTCAGGGGCTCTTAGGGTCACGTGTCCAATATCACCCCTTGTTCGCCGCACAGCAGAGACACTGAGGCCCACAGGGTGGGCCACGTGGGGAGCCGGCTGTGACCCTCCGCTGCCGCCCGAGCTGAGGGCGTGGTCCTGCAGAGACGTGGGTGTGATGTGGTCCTGTGAGACGGGTCCGGGGTGGGTGAGCCTCACTCCTCTTTGCTCCCCTTAGAATCGCCATGACATGCTCTTAGTGGAGCCGCTCAACCGCCTTCTGCAGGACAAGTGGGACAGATTCGTCAAGCGCATCTTCTATTTCAACTCCTTCATCTACTGCCTGTATATGATCATCTTCACCACGGCCGCCTACTACAGGCCTGTGGAAGGCCGGGTGCGCCTGAGGCTCGGGGCTCTGCGGGGGACGAGGGGAGGGGGTGGGCGTTCCGATAAGGCCCCCAGACCACGGGCCCAGGCCAGACCCTGGCGACATGGAAGAGTCACCTGGAGATCTTACGTCCCTGTGCTCAGTCCTCCCTCTCCTGGTCGTCTCACACCCCTCTCCTGTTCTCAGCCCCTCCTTTAGCCTCCGGGTTCTGAGAGGCCGAGCCTGTGGTCGCTGAGGTCCCTGATTGCAGAGGGGGAGTACTAGGTTAGAAAGGATGCAGGAACTGGGGCTCCAGAAGGAGCTCTCCGCTCGTCTGGGTGTCTTCAGGGTCCCAGGTGGCGTCAGCCCTGAGCACATTGCCAGCCCTCTCAGCTGCCTGCTTTTGTTCACTCACTTGCACATTATTCATTCCCTGGACATATACTTTGAGGGCTTCTTCTGAGCCAGGCCCTGGGTTATGCATCAGATTAACTTAAGACCAGACTTTTTCCGCTACCAGGAGCCATAGACTCCCTCAGGTTTCTGAACTGAGTCCTTTCCATTCAGTATCCAAGCACTTAACTTGCTGCCTTTATCTCCAGGTTGCCTTGCTTGTAAATTTGGTTGAAAAACTCAACTTCCTAGTTAGGTGAAACCCAATTTCTATACAACTATTAAGGCCATCTAAAGACTTTATTTTACGAGAAAAGAAATATGTGCTAATGAGACAAGCTAGTGAGCTAGTGCTTATGAAACATGGATGACAGGCTGGAAGGAAACCCACTCTGGAAAACTGTGGCTGAAACACTAGGACGACACACACACATGCGTGCGCGCACACGTGCTTGCGTGTGTGTGTGTGTGCGTGCGTGTGTGTGTGTGTGACGGTGACGTCTCTCCCTCCACCATCCGTGGGGAACCTTGACAGTTCTGGGAGACCAGGGGTTCGCCATAGGCTGTGGGAACAGCAGGAAGCACATGACATTGGATCTGTAAGGGTGCCTCCATCTAATGCCACCACGGTCCTCCCAGCCAAGCAGAGCTCCAGGTTAGGACATCATCCAGGAGACAGCACAGTACAGTAAGGACACTCCTCTTAGCAGCTGGAAGCTGCCACTTTGGAAATCAGGTCCCACAGAGGGGCCTCCTTGCAGGTGTCCCCATAATTATGCATTGTCTATTTGTGTCTCTCTCTCCTGATGGAGGCTGAGCGTCTCCAGAAGGGGCTGGGTCTTAATCGCAGGGCTCTGTACCAGGTAAATGTTTGTTGAATGAATGAATGAGTGAATGGAATCACTAACTTCTCTGCCTTTTGCAGCCTCCCTTTAAGCTGAAACACACCGTTGGGGGCTATTTCCGAGTCACTGGAGAGATTCTTTCTGTAGCAGGGGGAGTCTACTTTTTTTTCCGAGGGGTAAGCATTCCTTCCAACTCCGTGAGTTTCCACTATCACCAAAACAGAAAGTCAAGAGACTCACTCAGCGCTCACCCACTTTTTAATTCATCAGCCACATAATGGCCCTGATAGAGAAGCTTAGAGACGCACAGGTGAAGGTGAGAACCCTCAGGCATTCACGGCTGTGAGAGGGTGCTGGTTTGCCCAGTGGGTCCCTGCAGACCCAGGGCAGTCATGCTTGAAGACAGGCAGTCAGGGCTCTCCACTGAATGTAATATTTAATTACAGAGATAGAGTGGAAGCCTCTTAAGAGACAGGATCATGACTAGTAGTTGTTTAATTAATTGAAACAGCCCATTAAAGCTCAGAAAGAAATCTATATGTATACTGGAACCATTTTATTTTAACTAAAAACTCAAACATGCATATTCCTTGGCCATTCTTCTAATACATGTGGAACCACTGTTGCACATACGAAGGAACCTGAATGCAGAATTTGAGTTTGTGATTTTCTTCCCTTAATTTTTTTTTTTTTTTTTTTTTGCGGTACGCGGTCCTCTCACTGTTGTGGCCTGTCCCATTGCGGAGCACAGGCTCCAGACGCGCAGGC